GAAAGATAGCCACCATCATACATTTGGCATAGGTCAGGGGCACACCAGGCTGAACCAGTTCACATAACCCACTGGCGAATCCGAGTACCGGAACAGAGTGTGGGTCAGGTCAGGTTCGGTCGCAACACAAACCAGTGCACATTACGGAATGCCAAACAGCACACATGAGAACCAGGGAGGGATAGGGCAAAGCCAGTAGGGGGAATGTGGGCTCCCCTGCTGGAGAGAATGAGTTGGGGTGGGGGCAGACCAGACCAGGCAGGGCCACAACACCTGTGGGCCTCATGTGAGCTGGATCAGGGAAAAGCCAGGTTGGGCTGACTGTTTCGGCTGGCGCAAGCAAAAATTAGAGCAGGTGAGGGGTGGCTGGGCTTTGCCGCAGCATCAGCTAGCAGAGGCTGGCATTGGGGGCTAATGCTGTCAATTTAAACTCTAGAATCACCTGGAGAGTGCATAATCCAGGAGTGGGAGTTGTCTAGTAGGGAAATAATGGGCACCTCCCTTTTGGGTTACCACTCCCACTGGAGAGCATGAAAACCAGTACAGGAGCAGGGGTGGCTAGACAGAAAGGCACCTGTCAGTATGTGTGTGGGCTGCATAGTAGGTTAGTTGGGTTGAACTAGGCTTCAATGTCCACTGACACGTATGAGAGCTAAATGGGATATGGGACAGAATGAACAAGTCTGTGGTACATACTGGCAAGCATGGGAACCAGGGCAGGGGGCAGGCCTGGTAGGGGCTATGGGGAGTCGCCCCAACTAGCCTGAAGCTCCCACTGGCTTGCGTGTGCACTGAGTATGAAGTGGGCAGGATTGGGCTGGACTACAACACTCATCAGTTCGTGTGAAAGACAAGGTTAGAAACAGAACTGATCCAGCAGTTGCAACCACCAACATGTGCATAAGCTGACTGGGGTGACAGACTGTGCTGGACTATGTATTGGCAAGCACACAGAAGAATCATATCTGGGATCACCTCAGATGAAGTTTCTTTGGAGATCCCTCCAACTGAACTGCTGATCTCAGAATGTCAGCCAGTGGATTCTGAATAGATTTCATCATGATTGGAACAGTAAGATTGGCAGCAATTTAGAACTATTGAACTATCAAAACTGCTTGAGCAGGACCCTTGGAGCATGCTCCACATAGGGGACCTGGGATGGGTGGGAGGCTTGGTGGGTTTCTCTGTTTCTCCCTTTACCCCAGATACAGGGGAAAAAATGATGATATTAGTGTGGAAAGAATGGTCTTACCCACTTTCCTGTAGCCCTTGACCCTTTGTACCCTAATCACTATGTAAGATTATAAAAAAAATAATAATCATAAATGAAAGTCTAGATCAATGTCATATTATAGAAGTTTCTACAATGAAGAAAATGTTCTATTTTGCTCTGTGTCATTCAGTAGCTAGCAGCCACCATGTGGCTATGGAATATCAGAAATGGAGTTAATGCAACTCATGGAATAAATTCTAAATTTTATTTAATTTTAACTAATTGATATTGAAATATAAACAGTGACACGTGAATACTGAACAGCGCAGGTCTACACTGTTTGGTGTTCTTGGTATTCAGTAAAGGTATTCATTACTACTGACTTCTCCCCAACCCTTCCTTTTCTTGGTTTGGTGGGCTTCATGGAAGGTAATGAATATGTACAGCTTGCGTCTTTACTCCCAATTAATAATAGGATTCTTATAAGTATACCCATTTATTATGATACCATATTTACCACCTTTTTCTATACCTACCATGTAATGATGCATTTATATATCGGAAAACTAAGCTTGTAATGGTGAGTTGAGTGACTGTGCTATTGTGATAACTTGGGGATAAACAGTGGGGGGGATTATGGGAAGGGAGGAAAGGGAGAAGGAGAGATGAACCTCTGCTTATAAATCTGTATTATGAAAAAAAATTGTTTAAATAAGGTAGGTTCAGAGACAGGCATTTGACTTAGTGGTAGTAGTTAGGACATGACTTGGAACATCTGCATCTCATGGCAAGTGTCTGAGTTTGAGTTGTGGCTCTTCCTGCAGTCCAGTTGCCTGCTAATGCACACCTTGGAAGGTAGCAGGTGATGCTTCAAGCAACTGGTTTCCTGCCAGCCATACTGGCGACCCTGATTAAGTTTTTGGTTCCTGACTTTGACACAACTCAACTCTGGACATCGTGAGCATTTGGGAGTAAAACAAAGATGGGATTTCTCTCTCTCTCTTGCAGTCTTTTAAATATATGCATATATATACATATATGTGTATATGTATGTAAATAAAAAACTAAGGGGAAAAAAGATGGTATCAGGGATCACAGGTGCCAAGTTCCCTACACAAGATAAGTAGGCGGATTTCTTCCTTTAGTAGGGTTTTGATGGGAAAGTGTCTATCCCTTTCCCTTCCCCCAGACTGGTTTGTTTGTGTGTAAATACACAGCAAATGTACACACACACACACAGGCACTCACCTAAAAACACCCAAATCTTTGGCTTTTACCAGTGTGGGTAAGTTTGTAATTTACTGGGTTATAAAGTGGTTTGAGTCACACTATGTGATAGTCTTTTACATGATATCATTTAGCAAATAACCCACAAAGTGATGGAACTATATGGGGAATATTTAATATTTATGCTAAATTAAAACCAGAGCCTGAAGATGGGATACAGCTTCGGAAAGAACAAATAACAACTGAGTAAGACCAAAGATCCCTGCTCCTTACACTGAAGCAACAGTAGGAACTTTGTGACTACTCTGGTCTTTATCACTTTGTAAGTGCCCTAGACTGCTGGCAAATTATTCTTGTGTTTGAAAAAAAAAAAAAAAACCACAATTTTCTTCAAATTCTCAACCAATTTTCAAATACATTCTAGGAGATCACATGACATTGAGTCTCTGCTGTCCTGAGAATTCCCTGATAGTCCTCTCTCACTGAGTTGAAGAGTTGTATAGGAGAAGAGAGGTTTCAGGGAAGACGTGTGTAGGTAGGTAACACATCCTGATGTGGCCCTGGGTGAGGCAGTGAAGCCTCTGTGCCCTGGTTTCCTCACTTGGAAAATGAGGATACTATTATATGTCTCACAGTTATTGACAAACCAATTGTTGGCATTTTCAATAGGTTCTATGATTTCTTTATGTTTAGTAAAAGGAAAAAAGGTTGCCAAGGATTGCTGGTAACCACTGGAAGCCAGGACAATGCAAGGAAGGACTTCTGCCTAAGGCCTTCAGAGAAAAGAGGACCTGTGGCAACTTCTTTCCCAGAGCTGTGAGACAAAGCATTCCTGCTGTTTTAAGTAACACACTGTGTGGCGCTTTGTTACAGCACCCATGACAAAGAAAAACAGAATGGATTCCTCAAACAGAAACTGGAAGCATTCTGGATCATCTCCCACATCAAAACAAGGTTCCAATACATGCTGCTATGGCTGAACGATGGAGAAGCCATTGCACGTTGATTCCTATTCTGGTTAAATTTGACATGAATTTTCTAAGAACACATTTTTATTTTATTTTTCCAACTATTTATTTATTTCAAAGGCAGAGAAACAGAAAAATACAGAGATATAAAGATTGAGATAATATATATATAAACATAGATATAAATATATAGATGAAATGTATAAATCTCTCTATATAGCTATATCTATACATATAGATAGTGATAGAGATACATGAGAGGTATCTATCTATCTATACAGAAAGAGAGAGAGAGAAAGTTGCCATCCATTGGTTTGTTCCTTAAATGCCTGCAGTGGCCAGGACTTGGTCAGGACTTGGCCCAGGAGTGAGAATGTAATCTAGATCTCTCAGGAACATGGTGTCAGGCAGTCAATTACTTGATCTATTACCACGGCATCCTAGGATCTGCACTGGCCAGAAGCCAAGTATCCAAACCCCTGGGTAGAATGCCTACTGCCACCACCTGTACACCATTTTTATTTGCTAAAGGTTGGCCCTGATGAGACACTGACTCCATTCTTTAGGAGCTCTGAGCCTAAAAAAACTCAAATAAATAAATAAATAAATAATAAACTTCAATGGGTCTGCGCTTGGACTACTGTCCACTCCTGAACTACCCAGTGCAGCCCCGTGGCTGTGCAGTTCCTAGAGAGAGGAATGGATGGAGATAAACAACAGAGGGAAAGCTCTGGTTTCTTTCCACAATAAAGAAGTAGTTTTACCTTTTTATTATTTGCTTTTTACAAACCCACCAAATTCTGACTTAAATATTCAAATAAGGTAAGTAATCACAGGTAGAGTTAAATCTAAAGAGAAATACAAGCACAGTTTGAAAAATCAACAAGTAATCATACATAATTGTCAATAGATAGTGCAGACTGATAAAGAAATTTCTTAACAGCCATGAACACATAAACTGGATGCTTTATATACGTAAGTATAAAGAAAATAGTTTTCAGGGGACAATTTATGGTACAGCAGATCCAGCTGCTGCTTGCAAAACCAGAATTCTGTATGGGTACCAATTCATGTCCCAGCTGCTCTACTTTCAATCCAGCTCCCTGTTAATGCACTTGGGAAAGGCAATGGGAGACGACTCAGGTATCTCGGCCCCTGTCACCCATCTGGAGACACAGATGTGACTCCTGGCTCTTTGCTTTGGCCCTAAGTTGGCTGTTGTCACCATCTGGGGAGTGAACCAGTAGATGAAGATCTCTTTCTCTGTGTGTGTCTTCTTCTCACTCTATAATCCTGACTTTCGAAATACATCTTTAAAATAAGTAAATAAAACAATTGTCAAAGTTCAAAGTTCAGTGAAAAATGCTTTTTCCTAGTTAAAATAAAGGCAACTAAGTAGTTGTTTTTTAATTTGAAAATGTGCTTGACAGATTATCTTTTGTTAGTAAAGAAAATTTACTTCTCCACCAGCTAAGAATCTGACTGTTGTCAGTAGGGTAGTACAAAGCCATTAGAAGATCTCCATAGACCATTAATCTTAAAGTACCACTTGGAACTTTCTCAGAAGTAGAAATGATCACTCACCGTGCTACTAGGGTCTCTATTAGCTCGAGCACGCTCCAAAGCATCTATTTTCATGGCACTCATCTTATCAGTGTCAGCAAGGATGTAATGTCTAGGTGAGTAAGCATCGGATAAGCTCTCCAGCAGTCTCAGGATCTCCGTGGTATGTCCACCTGGAAAAAAATATCAGAAAGCCTAAGATTAAGAAAGCCATGATGAACATATCAATTGGACTCTGGACACTAATGTCACATCTTCAGAGGATGAAGGATCACCATAATTGTATATTTCCAAAAAGACACAAGGTACATTTAGAAACAGTAATTAAGCCTGTATATAAATACTACCTTTATGCAGGAGAGAGGATAATAAATGCATACAAATAAAACTGGCACTAGCGACAGGTGCAAGGAAGTCTAACAAACAACTCCAATTATCAGTAAGACTGGTAGGAATGGGCAACACACACACAGATAAAAAGGAGGCAAGACTGCCAAACAAAAACAAAAACAAAAACCACAAACAAATGTTTAAAATGTGGTAAGAAGGTAAATGGTTGTAAAATATTGAAAAACTAATGCCCTCCAAGTGAAGAAAATCCCTGGTAAAAGCCAAGAGGACTTGGAAGGTGAAGCTCCAGGGCAAGGAGGGAGGCCATCTGGGCAGGGTGGCCATGGTTAGGGCACAGGGTGGCAGACCTGAGACCTGCTGTCAGTGGGGTGATGGGATCACCAGGAAGGAAGGCAAGGGGGAAGCCCCCCAATGTTCCTGTGCAGAGAAGTGAGACCGGAGTCACCTGAGTCCTGCTGGGAGGGCTTGGGACGTCGTGGGGAGCTTGTGCTCATCACTGTAACCCAGCTCTCAAGAGGGGTTTCAGCATGCTGCAGCTCCCCAAAACTCACTGGCTTCACCAAAGGCCTATGCACAGTTTCTGAAGTCTTATACAATCTTCAATACTAAATACTTCAATTTTAAAAGCATAAATTCATACATCAGCTGTGTTCACTGATCATGTAAACCACAATGAAAGAACATCTGCCTATCTAGAAACCAACCACTTAAGCAAAATAAATTCTCCTTATCACCTGTTTTTAATTCCTCGAGCTCTGTGCCTCAGCCTGGTTGACATCTTTAACATTATTTACATTCATCTTATTTTTTTTTCAACTTCCTCCTTACCTTGGGTCACCTCCTCTTACGTGCAAAACTTCCCCATCCTATCTTCCTTAATGTAAGAAATGGTTTTAACAGTGACACGTGAACACACAGAAAAATAAACAAACAAAGCATGTGTTTCTGGCAATGCACATATTTTTTTCTTCCAGTAGAAATGCAATGAATTCTTCCTAGATTCCAGAACGGATTAGATATTGGGAAGAAATCTGGCATACATCTAGTGTGACTTTTGAAGTTAGAATCATGCATTCACTTTGTAACTTGTTACTCATCTTGTGATTTGGTCCTCTGGTTTACATTCGTTACAGGTTCGTTTTGTTTTGTTTTGGCCTTGGAAAAGTTGTGGTGATTTGCAAAACAGGTACTTGTTTTCACAGCCAGGAAAACAAAAGATAAAGACTTAAATTCACCACAACTTCTTTTTTTTTTCTTTAAAAAAGATTTATTTATTTTTATTAGAAATGCAAATCATTTATAATTAATTAATATTTTGTTTTAATATTTTATTACTATATATTTTATTCTTTATTTTATGACACAGTTTAATGTCTATTAAACACAACAACTTTGCCCCAATGCCTACTAAACACAACTTTATCATAATTAAAATGTCATTCTCTCTGCTCTCAGAGACTCAGTGTCCCCCTCTTTCACCTCTTTTTTTTTTTTAAATAAAACTCACTGAATACATCATCGATGATTTAACCTTCTTACCAAAAAAAGGTCATTACTGTGATGGACTGGGTCTTCCATTTAATTTTTATTAAGTTTCTCTGGGAAGGCAGTTAATAAAATCCTCTCATTTCTTCCTCAAATATAATTCAGCATCCAGTCACTCTTAGCACTTCCTTTGCCACCACCTGGCTCCAAGTAACTACTACCTCTCTCATGGAACAAGAGCAAAACTCCCGGGAATTCACTGCCCCCCTCCTGCTCAGTCTACTCTTCACACAGCATCCGGCGGCATCCCAACCGGCCAACTGACCTCTGCTCAAAACCCACCAATGGCTGCTCATCTCACACAGGAAGGAAAGCCTCTTACCAATTTGCTACTGCTGGACTTTCCTCTCCTCTCCCCCCTAACTCTGGCTACTCTGGCTGTTAAGGCCTCCTTGCTACTGGATGTTTGTTATTTCTTCAGGAATGTGCTTCCTGACAATTCTGTTAAAAATCCAGGTCTCCTTACTCATATCACAGCAGGTTTCATCATGGAATTTATTACTTCGTCTATTTTTTCCCCTTCTTTTAAATAATTGTATAGTTACTGAAAAAGGACACACACACACAATCTTCCATCCACTGGTTTCACTCCCCAAATGACTGGGATGAGTCAAGTGGAAGCCAGGCAGATGTATAGAGAGAGAGAAGGATATACAGAGAGAAATACCATCCATCTGCTGGTTGACTCCCCAAACGGCCACAAGAGCCAGACATGAGCAGATCCAAAGCCAGGAGCCTTCCAGGAGCTTCTTTTAGGTCTCCCATGCAGGGGTAGGGTTCCTAGGCTTTGGGGCCATTCTGCACTGCTTTCCCAGGCCACAGGAGCTGGAAGGAAAGCTGAGCAGCCGGGACACAAACCAGTGCTCATATGAGATCCTGATGATTGGGATGGGATGATTAGCCAATTATGCCATCATGCCAAGCCAATGTATACCTCCAGGAGGCAGGCACCATAAAGGCAAGAGTTTTCATTCATTTTTGTTACTGCTATATTGCCAGACCTTTCAAAAAGTAGATCTTAAAAACAAAGAGATATTTCCAACACTTAATGAAAAATTCATATTAAGTCTAAATTTTCCTAAGGATAGCATACCATGTTTGAAACAAAAGTAATCATTTTCACACAAATCCTGAAAATATGAGTGGTTTCAAAAAGTTCCTGGAAAATATGTATTACATGAAAGAACAACTGACAGATTTAAAAACTATCATGCATCAAAATAAACTTATCTTTTAATTTCATTTTCCAGGAACTTTTTGCAGTGTGTGTCACTAATTTCATGGCACCCAAAAATCACACTTTTTTTTCAGGTCTTAAAACACTGAAGACTCTCCCTCCTCCAAAATTTTGGAAATGAACAGTTCAACTGTTTATCTGATTACAAGATTCTTTGAGGCCCATGCCCATTATTATCCTGAATAACTGGAATGACCTCTGACTTTTCAGTCCCTAACCTTGGTTTTTGGTCTACCAAACCCAACACTACCAAGTCAATGGGTTCAGGGGTTCAGTTAGCAGCTGTTTAAGTTGGAAACTTGTACATCACCCTGTGTCCCTTCCCACCCCATCACCACACTTTCAATCTCCTAGATTCGTTTGAAGGCATTTGCATCTCTCTACCTCTGCACTCACCACTTCAGGCAGGTTCATCACGTGTCATCTCAACTATCTGGAGGGCTCCTACTCACTCACTGCCTTAGTGTCTGTCGAGACGCTCTTGTGACACTCGAAGCTGGAAAACCTTGGAGGAAGCTCACTGGATTGAGGAACTCTCACTGGCAAATGTTTTCAAAGATCCCTTTGCTCCTAGAACTAAAAGCAATCACCATTTACTAAACGCTTACAATATGGAATACCTTGCTGAACATCCCACACACTACATTTACTACATTTAATCTCTTCCAGGCTTTCTCAGTAGACACAGAAGACTCAGCGAGATATTAATTTGCCTCAGATCACCAAGGTGGTAAGGACTGAACTCTAGCATTATGTCAACCTAGAGGCCTGTATTCCTAACCCCTGCCTGCATGATACAGAACAGCAGAAGACACGTGGCTCCACAAAGCAGGATTTACACTAACCAGAAATGGCTAGACTCAGCTCACCTCTCCACAAGGAGCTCCAGGCAGTAGTGCTCTCTCTCTACTCTCAGTGCGACTGGCCATTCCAAGTGTTATCACCTCCATTCTTCACATCCAACCACCAGGGCTCCAGTTCTGCTTTCTCTGTGCTAATTAATTCTCAGCCATTATTCAAGTCTAGTGTCCTGTTTCAAGTTCAGATAAAGTGGTGCTTCTTAAGATCACCTTTAAGAGCTGGTACTTTTTATTGTAAGATTATAGCATTTTCTCATTATCGTTTTATTTTCTGTTAGTTTTTCTGTATTCTTCATCCCATTTGTGGTTCTCTGTACCTTTCATGATGTCTGACACACAAGGTAGGATTACATCTTATTTGTGTTATTTGCAGCGCTTACCTTAATACCCAACTGCTCCTTTGGCTCAAAATATATTAAGTGAAAAAAATATATATTAAATGAACAAGACGCTGAAATACACTTAAACATAAACCTAGGAAATTTGCTCATACTGTGTTATTCCAGCCAGCTGCGGGTATTTCCAACATATACACTGAGCATTTGCGTGTACATCAGGGTGCAGGAGAGTCATGAAGGACTTAAGGAAGGATTTTTCAATCAACAGCATACGACAACACACAATCACGGGCCCTCCAGATGAGACTTCAGCTGCAGCATTCCTATCATGCTGGCATCACAGCTATAATTTCCAGTGCAGTGCATTACTCATGTGTTTGTGGTGTTGCTGGTATGAGCAGATCTATTGTGTTGCTGGTTGTATAAAGTTGCAGTATATGCAATTAGGTACAGGATATAATACACGATAATAAACAACCACGCTCCTGGTCTATGTGTTTACTACACTAGGCTTCTGGTTGCACAGGGCATCCTTCTCCTTATAAAACAAAGTTTAGCGTAAAAAGTAGCTCTGTTATGCCAGCAGCAGCCTCATACCTCTCATGTTTACTGGGCATCGTTTTCTCTTGTTTCATCTATCCTTGTGCTGTTTTGTTCCCCACGGCCTTAGAACGTTTGGGCTGTGTCATACATACTAAGGATGTTCGTGGAAAAAGGGAATTCACTTCCATGCAGTTTTCGCTTCCTTTCTGTCTCTCCCAACTGCTGGAATTGAACTCCATGCATATCCATTCTGCCCTTCCTTTTTCCTTCCTGTACTCATATTCCAAGAACGTTCTGAAGACCCCAGATGCGCGGACGCCGCAGGAGCCAGGTGTGTGGCAGGCTCCAGGGTCTGGGTCGGCCTAAGTGCACTGTGTGTGTGCACAATGACGACGTCAGGATGCTTGTCTCATCACGTGAGCAATGCATGGCTGCCAGCACCCTTCCCCAAACCGTGCAACCAGCAGCACGGATGGATGGGCCCTTCACTACCTCACAGGACAGCAGCCTGTCAAGCACCATCCGCCACCCCATGTGTCTTGTTCCACGGTCAGTAGATCATTATTTTCATCCTCGCGGACAGTGTAGACTTTCTATTGCCTTTGCCTCATTTATCATAGGATTCGTGTTTCCTAAATATAAAATGACTGGTAATCCACCACAGAAACACAGGGAGGTAAGCTTCAAAAGGCTTCAGCGTCCTCTCTGCTCGCTAATAACTTGTTTCAATAACTAGTATTACACAGAGCCTTAATTACAGACACGCGTTAAATTACATAAACTTGTTAAAAAGCGGTGGGGCCGCAGTCAACAAACTCGAAGTTAGCGCCTGCCGGTTCCGGTTACTCACAGAAACTACAAAACCCAGCATGCACGGCTCGAGGCAGTACCGAGGACACCACAGAAGTTTGTCGCGGTGTCTTCTGGGGTTTGTAGTGAGCGACCCAAGCCAGCCCGTCGGCGCCTCGGTACTTACCGGAGCCGGCCACTACCACGACGCTGAGAGACTTCCGGGGCGTAACGGCCTGGGAATGCAGCACTACCCATAGTCGCAGGACTAGCAAGGTCGCCACAGCTCCTGCCGCTGCAGCTACAATAAGCAGCCACACCATGCGAAGGAAAAACGCATGCGTACTAGTCCCTAGCGTCCGCGGTTAAAGTTCACGGCTACGGGCGCCGAGGAGATCCAAACGCGGATGACGCGCTCTCGGTGGGTTGGGCTTGCTTGAGCTGGGCGGAGGGACAGGTCGGAGGGGAAGCCGGCCTCCACTGGAGGCGTGAGGCCCGCTCTCCTAAACTCCCCACCGCTGCCGCTCCTCAGAAACTGAGCCGAAAATTCGGGAAGTCAAGCTCTGGAGAAGTTTGAGATTTGCGGGTGACCGCGTCAGGCCACTTGTGCGTCCTTACGACTCCCGAAGCTCCCCCACTTAGAAGCTGTTCCAACTGGACCAGGTTTGCCCTGAGGCCAACAGCATCCGTCGCTTCCGGGTCTTTACCTTTCCTACCTCACGCCCGCTGAAGCATTTATGTGGCACGTGCAGACGATACTGAAAGCTTTTGCGAATAAACGGTGATCTGAGGCGAGAGGGGGTTTGGATTTGGAGCCTTCATCCTAACTCCTACTCCGCCGGCAGCACGCGGGTTTTCAGCGTTTCCAGGTGTTTCACAGACCTCAGGCTATGTGACCAGAATAGTTGGGGGGTCATCTCTCAAGTCTTGCGCTGTTCCTGGGAGGAGAGGAAGCCCGGTGGCTGGAGGAAGCTGGGCAGAGAAGGCATAACCCTGTGATGAACATTCAGTTCATTCTACCTCAGAGCACTCCCGGGTTTCTTCCTCCTGTCCTCGGCCGAAGTGATGATCTTCAACCCCAGCTCCAATCCGCGTTCTTCTTATTCTTATGTCTACTTAATCCACATGACTGCAGTATGAAAATACTAAAAGCAGCCCCTTCATTTTGAGTGTAAAACTAGTTCAGAAAGGTCCGACAACTCCAGGTAGCTTCCGACCCAGAATTGGAAATCGGAAATCCCGACTCCTACTGAGGGGGATTATGCAGTGCGGTGCTTTGCTAAACTCCAGAGGGCTTGAGGGCCACACTTCCCTGTATCCTAGATTGTGATTTCAAAAGTAAGGATTCCCGGAATCCTCTAGGAAGCAACCAAATTAGAATCTCCTGGGTAGTGTCTAGCACTAGCTTACATTAGTTTCTCGGAAAGGTTTTTTTTTTTTTTTTGCCACAAAAAATGAAATGCATGCATCATTTTTTTCATAGCACACATTTTCCCATGAACTTTTTGAAGACTCTTCAGGTCACTAGTATATCAATTCCCATCAGCAGGCACGTTTTGGGGAGACTGTGGGAATATTCTTTCCTGGCTCATGGACCTAACAACACTTTCAAGATGTAGTCTTATAGCAAATTCTGTTAACCTTCGTCATCACAATAGTCTGTTCTCATACGACTGTACTGGTGATTCCAGAAATAAACATCCACATAGGATGGTCCCCATAGCCAAGAAAGAGGGCATTTTGTCATTAGCTATTTATTTGTTTTAATTTTTATTTATTTATTTTTTTTACCAAGGACAAAGAAGCTTTTCAAGGGCCCCTTGCAGCAGACAGTTTTTATCCCTTCAGTCTATTTTTTTCTTAAAGATTTATTTATTTTTACTGTAAAGTCACTTATACAGAAAGGAAGAAAGAGAGAAAGATCCTTTGTCTGCTGGTTCACTCTCCAAGCAGCCACAACTGCTGGAGCTGAGCCTAAGCCAGGAGCCCAGAGCCTCTTCAGGGTCTCCCACGTGTGTGTAGGGTCCCAAGGCTCTGGACCATCTTCATCTGCTTTCCTAGGCCACAAGCAGGGAGCTGGCTGGGAAGTGGGACTGCTGGGATTAGAACTGGTTCCCATATGGGATCCCGGTGCGTTCGAGGTGAGGACTTTTAGCCGCCTGGTCACTGCACCAGGCCACCCCTCTTCAGTCTATTTCTAACAGTGTCCATGTGCAAAAGGAGAGGTAGGAGTGGAGGATGACATATGACTCCACTGTAGAAGTGTATGGCCATTGTGGGGACAATGGATACTGAACAAATGTGGGCACTTTTTTTATTTTAGAGAGGAAGAAGCTGTGTGAGGAATGTTTTTGGGTAATCAAGCAAAAGCATCTTTTTTTTTTTTAAAGATTTTTTTTTTTATTGGAAAGGCGGATATACAGAGAGGAGAGACAGAGAGGAAGATCTTCCGTCCGATGATTCACTCCCCAAGTGAGCGCAACTGCCGATGCTATGCCGATCCAAAGCCAGGAGCCTCTTCCGGGTCTCCCACGCAGGTACAGGGTCCCAAAGCTCTGGGCCATCCTTGACTGCTTTCCCGGGCCACAGGCAGGGAGCTGGAAGGGAAGCAGGGCTGCTGGGATTAGAACCAGCACCCATATGGGATCCTGGGCGTGCAAGGCGAGGACCTTAACCACTTGCGCCACCACATCAGGCCCAAGCAAAAGCATCTTGATTGCTATGATGATAATGTATCTGAAAGGGCTTTGTAAACTGACACACGTGATGTTGAACATGTAATAATTATTTGGTTCCTGGCTTCAAAATTCATATTAGAGAATATTTAATGTTGAGAAGATATCCGGCACTTGCTGTGGCATCCATTAGCTATATATTTTTAAGTTTTTTAAGAGCTCAGGTTATTTTGCACTATTCCATATGCTTATGTGTCTGTTGAGTCAACATAATTAGTAACTGCTATATGCTCAACACTTTAACATGCACAGGACATCAGACACATGGGACAGTGTCTCAAAAGAATATAGAACTAGAGAGATGTTAGTGGAGTTAATGAGGGCAGATTTGAAAGATGAGTTCCTGAACTGAAAAGTTTTGTTCTCTTCATGGCCTCTTCTGCAGTGTCCCAGCACTCCCTTCTCTTGTTCCTTCAGGTCTGGAGTGGTGTCAGCTCCGCTGAAACTAGTTCTGAGTTACTACAATATCCCTTGTGTTTTTCCTACTTGATTCACATCTTCGTAATTCGTTACCTTATTAATTAATCCTCAAGTTAACATGATGGAAGTGAGCCATCTATATCCTTTTGGGGATACTCATACAGAGTGGTGCAACCAACCAGATGACAGAAATTTCAAAGGAACTGGAGTTTTTGCAAGAAGAAAAGGAGATGGTTCAGAAACAGCAATTAGGAGCAGGAGGAATGCTTTCCTCACCTGTCGGGATGTGGCAGCCAAACAGCCTCTATTTGAGAAACCCACTGAAGAAGCAGAGGGAAACAGACTCATCTTCAGCATGGAAATGGAGAAGAGATCGAAGAGACGGTTAAGATACCTGAGGAGTTTGTGGTTTACATGCCAGAAGGTCCACAGGGTCCAGAAAAAAGGTTTGAAGGTTGGTAAGGAAGGGGGATTGGATCAGACTGAGCAATTACTAAGAACCATAGAGGTAAGAATCAGGATGCTAATGAAGGATCTGAGTGGCTTCTGGTGATGGAAGATTGTGGGCAGGCCCCCAATTCTCTTTAGATTAGTTCTACTATCACCTGTCATATGCTTCACATTAGGCAGGGCCCTGGGGCTCAGGGGTAAGGGAGTAACAGTTAACACCCAAGCAGTGACTTAACAATGAGCCAAACTATGAACTGCAGGCCTCTTGAAAGGGTCTCCTACAGAAAAACCACTCAGCCAATTCTCTGATGGGGCTTCCTGGAAGCGTGGGCTGCTAGGGATCCTGACAGCTGGGACCATAACCACCAGAATCCAAACATCTTCAGACCTAGTGAAGGTTGAAAAATATGGGTGAGGAAGACTGAAGTTTTTCTACAGGAACCTGGAAGCTCATTTCAGCTGGCATTATGATTGCCTGTGACAAGGTAGGATAAAGCTGATGGACAAGAGTTCTTAGTCTGGGTTCAAGATGGAACTGGGGTCATGTGATCCCCAGGACTCATGATTGCATGCCTCACAATTGAAGCTCTTCTGGAAGGTTGGGCAGGATGAGCAATAGGAACTGCCCCAGCACAATGCAGGTAACTTTGGTCTTTGTTTTCTCTTGTCCAGCATACTATATATGTTTGAGTGACAGCTTTTTCCTGAATGGAACCACTTACGTAAGAATCTTTGAATTACTAACCCTTTGAAGGTTAAGGCAACTATTTAATGCTTATAATGATTGGCAGTCATGGTGTGCCAACTGTATTCTAGAATTAACTAACTGAATTATGAGTTGAACCCTATTATCATCCCCATTTTACGAATAGGGATAGACACCGAGACACAGAGAGATCATGGCATTGGCCATGGGCCACAAAGCCACGGATAGAGAGTGTCAGAACTCAGTCCTCGTCTGAGTCTATACTTTCATCTCCTGCGCTCTCATTAAAATGACTTATTGCATGTTTATACCTTACTACTACTACTCACTACTATACCATATATTAAACAAAGTCAGACAGAAATGGTGTTATTTTCTATGTATGAATTTTCACTTACTAGAACTAGGACAAAAAGGACATTTTAAAGTGTCTTAAAAGTGTATTAAAGAAATGATGATCTCTTTTCTATATCTTTCTCCAAGTATGTTAAAATTTTTTTTTAAAAAAAGGCTTTATCTGTATATTTAAGCCTCAGTGTTCACTTGCAGTGAAATTTTCAAGAGATGATAATGTTTTTTCATATTAACTTTATGTCCATTTAGCTAAGAATAATATTTTTCAGATATGTTTAAGAGCCTATGTACACAAAATGAATAATTTCTGTATTTTTTTAATATTTATTTGTTATTGCAAAGTCAGATATACAGAGAAGAGGAGAGACAGGAAGATCCTCCGTCTGATGATTCCTTCCCCAAGTGACTACAATGACCAGAGCTGTGCCAACCTGAAGCCAAGATCTTCCTCCAGGTCTCCCACACGGGTGCAGGGTCCCAAGGCTTTGGGCCATCCTTGACTGCTTTCCCAGATCACAAACAGAGAACTGGATGGGAAGCAGGGCTGCCGGGGTTAGAACTGGTGTCCATATGGGATCCTGGCACATGCAAGGCGAGGACCCTAGCCTCTAGGCCACCATGCTAGGCCCCATTTTTGCATTTTTAGAATGTTATTTATTTAACTTATTTGAAAAATCATTAGAAAGACAGATCTTCTATCCACTGGCCCATTTCCCAAAAGCTTGCA